GCAGAGCCTCACCCCACCCCAGCTGAGGGCACCCGCTTCGGCTTCTCTCCCTCATCCCCAGGTGCAGCCCCACATCTGCTCCTGCCTGGTGCTCTAGCTGTCCCCGCCCCCACCCCAGCTGAGGGCACCCCGCCTCGGCTTCTCTCCCTCATCCCCAGGTGCAGCCCCACTTCTGCTCTGGCCTGGTGCTCTAGCTGTCCCCGCCCCCGCCCCCGCCCCAGCCCATCGACCTGCCCTTCTTTCAGCAAAATGTCCCCTAAAGTGACTGAAGTCACCCCCACTTCCTGGGCCCTTGGGCTCTGCAGTCACCAGGAGCCAAGTCAGACCCGCCTCCGGCCCTGCACTCACTCTCTGCACCTGGGCCCTGGCTCCCCAGGCCCCTGGGGCGGGCTGGGCTGGGCTGGGCTGGGCTGGGCTGGGCTGGGCTGGCCAAGTGCCCTTGTGGTGGGGCGCAGGCCTGCACCCTGTCCTGGGAGAGCTCTGGCTCTCCACACCCGTCTGGGTGGACCTAGGGGCACTGCCCGCCTGTCCCCCTCAGCCTGAAGGCACCCCGGTCAGGGCCCCCGTCCTGCCCACCCCGCCCACCTCTCCCGTCCCTCCACCTGGAAAGTTCTTCCCAGGTGTCCCCTCTCCCAGCTCGCTCCCTCCCTCTCCTCAGTTTCCCCACTACAGGGCCCCAGCGGTGTGCTTCCCCTCACGTGGCCAGTTCTGTCCCCTGCTTCCCAATAGCCCTTGGCGCGCTGTAGGTTCCAGTGACTGAATGAGTCCCCTTGGGTGTCAGGGCCCTTGGGCTTTGCTCCGCTCTGACCCTCCCTGGATCCTGGGGCAGGGAAGGAGGTGGGGGGTGCTCCTCTGAGGGCTGCGCTGGGCTGACTCAGGGAGGCAGGGGCACAGAGCCCCTGCCCGCACCCCTGCAGGGCCCAGGGCGGTGACAGGCAGGCGGGGGCCCTTCCCTGCCCCCCAGCTGTGCCCTCAATGCTGGAAGCTCTCACACTGCTCCCACTGGGGTCTGGGTGGCCAGTTTCTTCGACACCCGTGCTGTTCCAAGTCCCCAGGCCTGGGCCAGAGTCCCCAGGCTCCTGACCCTGTCTGGTGGGCAGGTCACTCTGCCTGTTCCCCATAGGCTGCCTGGGGGGCAGAGCTTGTCACTGTTCCTGGTGCCCTTTCAAAGCAGCTCAGGGCTGGCCCTGGCACCCACTGGCCAGTGAGCCCTGGACACGGAGTCCCCCAGCTCAGTGCAACTGGTGATGGTCCCTCCCAACTGAGGCAGGGCCTCGGGGTGAGGGGGACACACCTCCATCCTGAGGGGCACCTAGGCCCTCACCGGTGGCACCAAGAACCCAGTTTACCCGGAGTCTTTACCAGCTGGAGGGTGAGGGAGCAGCTGTGCTGTGTGCCCGTTGGGGGCGGGTGTGGGGACCCTGGGAGATGAGGCCCAGCTGGTACTCTGGGCAGGGTGGGTGCTGGCACGGGCTGTGGGGTGCTGGGAGTGGGCAGCTGGTGCAGGGGAGGCCCTGGCTCCCGGGAATTCCAGGGACACTGAGTACAGCTGTGGTGGGGAAGGGCGTGGAGTGACCTCTGTCCTGGGCTGGTGGCTGCGGCGCGGCAGCCGGGCTTGGGCCGTGTGTGTGTGTGTGTGTGTGTGTGTGTGTGTGTGCCCACCCCAGCGGACCTCTCCCCCCAGACTCCTGGGAACTGGCAATGCTCATGCCGCCCTCCAGGAGGCCCCAGTCGAGTCTAATGTTCCAACCCTCCCCAATATGAAACCCAACCCCCCTCTTCACTCCCACACACTCAGCACTCTGACCAACTCCAGTCTGACCACTGGATGGGTTACTGTCTACCTCCCCAGGGGCCTCATTTTGGTCCCTGCGCTGGTCCTGCACTGGGCCTGTAAAGAGGAGGGACAGACTGAGCCAAGTGACACGTGAATGAATGAATGGCACCCCCAGAGGTGGAGTGGAAGTTGGGGGTGGGTGGTGCTGGGGAGGCCTGGGATGGTATGGCCCCGAGGCTACAGCGTCATTTCTGTCAGCAGGGTGGTTCCTGAAGCCTCCTCAGGGAGGGCACGAAATGGACCTGCGACCGACAGGGCCCAGGGTGCCAGGGGATAGCCCTTGCCAGGAGTCACTGAAGCAAGGATGCGCCACAGCCCCCGAACATCCAAGCAGGGCCCCCCCGCAGCCGGCAGCTGGCACCCTGCCCCAGGCGATCGCTGCCCTGCCAGCTCCCCTCCGACCTGAGAGTCCAGGTGGCTCCTTGCTGGGCATCTGGGTGCCACCTCTGCCCACACACACCTCCCGGGGCTGGGACGTGAGTGCACACCCACAGTCACACGCAGCGGCAGGTGTGGACAGACCCGCCTGAACTTCCATCTGTCCACACTCCGAGACCCCTGCTCTCTGTCTGTCCCGGGGCCCATGAGCTCCGAGGCCTCTGGTGGTTCTCACACAGTCCCTCCCTCCTGTGCCCAGCCCCAGCCTGGCCGCAGCAGTTGCTCCCCGAGAGGCCTGATGGGGCTGCTGGGGGGCTGTGGAGGGCAGCGGAGGAGGCCGGGGCACCTGCAGGCACGGCAGCCGCAGTGGAGAGAGGCGGGGCCTCGCTCTGCACTCCTGGCCAGGAGGGCACAGGACTCAGGAGCCCGAGCGGTCATGGACCCCAAAATGCGTTTGGGAAATGTCTCGGGACACACAGGAAAAGTGCACCTCTTGCCTCCTGCAGTTAAGCCCACACTCTCTGCCTCCTTTCACCTTCCCTGGTCCTATCCTGGGGGAAACTGGAGGAAGGAGGGAGAGGGAAGGAGGAAGGAGAGAAGAAAATGAAAGAGGGAGGGAGGCAGGAAGGTAAAGAGAAACTGGAAGAGAAGGAACATGAAATCAAACCCAGCACCACCAGGCTCAGGCTGGAGCCACGGAGGAGGAGAAGCTCCTTCCTACCCTCCACCTTGTCCCGCTTTCTCTCTGGAGGAAGGCCCCCCAAAGACCCCTCAGGCGGTAACAATGAAAACTAAGGTGTCTTCATCAAACACAAGCCAGTGGGCCTGCCCGTTAGTGCCCAGGCTCCAGCTCCTCCTTGGCGAGACGGCCTCTGTGCCAGGATGCCTAGGCCCATGGCAACCTCAGGTCTCAGCTGGTGGGTCCCCCATCCCCGAGGTCTCTCTGTTTAGTCCCTTTAACTCACCCCATCCTGCTCCTCGCACAGCGGGGTCCTCCTGGGCGCCCCGGAGGTCTCGCCCGTGGGTGGAGGGCTCTGCTCAGACCTCATCGCTCTGCCTCACTCGGAGGTGAAGGTGCAGCAGCTCCCCCGCCTCTTCTCCCTCTTCCCCGGGTCTCGGACTAAGACAATAAAAACAAACCCGCGACATGGAGAACCGGGCAGGGGCAGAACACAGCTGTCTGGGCCGCCCTTGCCACCCAGAAGAGTGCCAGGGGCTCTTCTCTCAAAAGTGCCAATCCTCTTGGGAAGGGAGGTGACAGTCAACTAAGCCCTGGCCCCCTTCAGGGCCGCCAGATTTCCAAAGGTGCTGCCCCTCCCCAGGGCTCGGAAGTCCAGCCTGGGCCCTTCAGGTGGGAGACCCTGGGCTCGGAAGAGCTGGGTACAGTGTTTGCCACCTGGACACCATGCATTGCACATGGGGTCACCTCCAAGGGCGGCCTCATTCCACCTCAGTGGGAGCCCAAGGCCATCCCGGTTGCCCTCCTCCCCTCAGGGCAGCCCTGGAGGGGGGACTTAGGGCAGGCACCCTGTTCACACTCCTGCTCCATTTCTCCCGTGGCCCCGGGCTAGTGCCCTCTCCTAACCAGGGAGAAATACGACAAAAACAAAAGCCACAGAAAAACTAGCCAGGCTCCAGTGACTTCTTTTTGGATCTAAACGGATTTATTGTTTGTTTCTTCCCCTTTCCTCAGTTTCGTAGCAAATGAAAAAAGAACCCAACAACACAACAAAACTTTGAACGAGTTCCACGCTTCCTGCTCCCGGCGTTCAGCAGGAGCCAGGACCCCATGCGCATGGGGCCTGCAGGGCCAGGGCGCCGCCCGCCTCCCCACCCTCTCCCGCTAGTCCAAAGAGCGATCAGGCTTTTTAAAAAAAGATCCCACAAACAAAACGAAACACAATTTAAATGAAAATAAAAACACTTTCTTCACCCACCCCCATGCCAGGAGGTTCAGGCCAAAACCTCCTCTTAAAAAAATTTTTTTCTGCTAGAAATACTGTGCATACTTTTATTTCTTTCATTTCTCTTGAAGGTTAAAATAAGATATATTTCCCCGGAGTCGTAAACACGACCTGGTGCGTGGAGAAGAGCAGCACAGGTCCCAGCCCCCCCTCCCCCCAGTGCAGCAGGGCAGCGGGACTGAATAGGGCCGAGTGTTCCCGGGCTGCAACCTCCAGGGGACACGGGGGCAAGTGGGGGCAGACAGACAGACAGGGGCCAGGCCCCTTCGAGCGAGCGACACATGCTGGGACACGCGGACGTCCAAGGGTGACCCCGGCGGGAAGGAGAGAGCTTCTTCCGGGGCCTTCTTTTCTAATTACCAAGCAAAATAAATATAAATACTTCGAGAATAAGACCGCTTCCAAAAGGAGTAGTAAAAAAGGGCAAGGGTGGGAGGCGAACGAAAGACGAAGAAGGGCGGGTGGCCCAGGACGGGACCGCGGCCCCTCGCGGGCCGCGCGGCGTCGGGGCGGACACCGAGAGCCGTGTATGTACACGCGGCCGCCAGGAAGAAGTTCCGCCTGGCGCGACTTTCCTGGAAATCACTGCGCTCCACGCGAGGAGGAGTCGCGGCCCCGCAGGTGCGTGGGCGCTGGTCTTCGAGCGAAGGCGCCGCGCCTCGGGAGGGGCCTCCCGTCCGGCGCCTGCGGACTTGGAGCGGGGTGTCCGGCGCAGGCCGGGCCTGGGGCGGCGGCGCTGACTCCCGACAGCCTTGCGTCCTCGTCCTGGGCCGCGGAGCCTGAGCCTCTTGCCGGCGGCAGTGCGGGCTCGGGCCCGGAGCTCACAGGAAGAAGTCGGGCGCGCCCTTGGCTGCGCCGGGGCCGGCCTGCGGCGGCGAGGACTCCCGCGGGAAGCCGGGCCCGCCCGCGCCCCCGGAGCCACCGCGGCCCGCCAGCTTCTCGTATTTCTCCTTGTACAGGTCCCGCTCCTTGGCCAGGCGCCCCACCTCCAGCTTCAGCTGCTCCACCTGGCTCTGGAGCTGGCACTTCTCGCTCTCCAGAATGTGCCGCTGCTGCACTCGCTTGAAGCGGCACGACTGCGCGTAGCCGCGGTTCTTGAGCGTACGTCGCTTCTGTTTCAGCCGGATGACCTCCTCCTTGCTGAAGCCGCGGAGCTGCCGGTTCAGCTCGCGCACCGACATGGACACCAGCTGGTCGTCGGAGAAGCGCTCCTCCAGGCGCACGTGGTGGCCCGCACCGCCGCCGCCAACGTGGCCCGCGCCGCCGTGATGGTGGTGGTGGTGATGGTGGTGGGCAGCGTGGTGGTGGTGGGTGGCGTGGTGTGCGCCGTGGTGGTGGCCAGCGCCCACGTCGTCCGCGCCGCCGCCGCCGCCTGCGAAGCCCTGGCCCCGGAAGGCCTCGTAGGCCGCGGCGGCCGCCGGGTGGTGTGCACTGTGGTGCCCGGCGTGGTGGCCGCTGCCGATGAGAGCCTCCACTGCGTCCTCGGGCGTCAGGTTGAGCGCCTCGGGGTTCAGGTGGTGCTGGTAGCCGCTCATCCAGTACAGATCCTCCAGCGCCGGTTTCCCCGAGGCGCCTCCGACGGCGCCGGGGCCCCCGCTGGCCGGCCCCGGGGCGCCCCCGGCCTGCGGCGCGCTGCCGCCGCCCCCTGAGCCGCCGCCGCCGCCGGTGCCCGGGCTGGGTGCGCAGAAGCTGGGCGAGGAGGGCACGGAGGAGCAGGGTGTGCTGAGCGGCGTCGAGGACAGCGAGCCTGGCGGCAGGCGGTGGCAGAAACGCTCAGCCTCGGGTGGCTCCTTCTTCACCTCGAACTTCATCAGGTCGAAGTCGTTGACGTACTCGATGGCCAGCGGGCTACTGGGCAGCTCGGCGCCCATCGCCAGCTCTGCGGCCATCGCCCGGGGCCCCGGCCCCGCCGCCGCGCCGGGTTGCGCCCCGAAGGAGGGCGGCGGGGGGGGAGCCGCGGGCCTCTCCCCCCCCTCCGATCCCCACCGGCTTTGGGTCCTGGCTGGGCGACCGCGGGCGGGGTGGGCAGTCAGCTCCCGGCTGCCGCGCCGAGGCGCGCGTGTAAAAGTTTCGCGCAGTCAACTCAGGGACGGCCGCTGGGGACAACGCCGGCCACGTCTCTCGGGCGGCCTCGGGCCGCTTCCGAGCGGGCGCAGGCCAGCCGCCTCCCGGTCCCCGCGCCGGCGCCCAGGCAGGTGGCCCGGCGGGTGGCGGTGCGGCCGCCGCCTCGGGCTGCTGGGACTGCCCCTCGCTCTGCTCGCGCTCGGCCGGCCCCGCCTCCGCGGCCGAGCGCCGCGCCGCGCGCTCCCCTTTTATAGAGCCGAGCGTCCGGGCCCGCCTCCCCGGGAGGGGCGCGCGCCCCCGGGCCAATCGGAGCCCCAGACCCGCCGCTCTCATTTGCCTATCCCCATGGCAACCCGGAGCCCAGCTGTCAATCTCCTGCGGGGAACAGCTGTGGGAAGGGGTGGTGACCGGCCGCGTGCTAGAGGAGGGGGCAGGGCCCTCTGGTGGCCACCATGGGGAACTGCAGCGGCGGGGACGTAGGGGGCGCGGGGGCGCGAGACAGAGGGGCGCCGGGCGTGGGGACCGGCTTGCGATCTCTGGAGCCTCGAGTTCGCGACGGGGCGGCCGGGGAGTCTCGGGGAGCAGAGGACGATCCTCGGTGTTTCAGTCCCCCCGCCGCCTCGCGGGCCGTGAGCGGCAGCCCCTTCTCCGGCCTTTCCAGGCTGGCGGAGAGGCCGCGTCCAGTCCGCTAGTGTGGCGGTGCGGGGACCTTCTGGCCTCTTGACCCCGTGACCCTGAAGCCCGGCGGGCGCGGCGCGGCGCGCACCGGTTATTTTTAGCGCGTGGTTCAGGCTGGTTCAGGAATTCAGTCAACAAAGTTGCTGGCACCTCGGTGCCGCGGGATCCAAGGGGCGCAGCGCAGGTGGGGAGCGAGATGGCAAGAAGGGCCCGCGGAGGGGGTGCTTCAGGGACCAGGGTGGGGTCACAGAGGGGCGGAGGCCACGCGGCGCGGGGGCTCGGTTTGGGAACTCGGAATCCCCGGCCCCAGCTGCCCACCAGCCCGGGTTTGGCGCGGGACGGGGTACGATGGGGCGCGGTGCTGGGTCTGGCAGTCATGGGGAACCGAGGCGGGAAGGCTCCAGTTCGAGGAAGTGGCAGAACCGAGCCCCCAGGACAGGTGTTTGGACAGGACGCACAGGGTGCCAGAAGGGTTGCAGGGGTTGGAGCTCCCTTTAAAGACCCGTGTCCAGAAGGAGACTGACTCAGAGGAGTGAAGCGTTGGTCTGTCTGCCAAGGAGAGCACCCGCACTGGGCTGCCATGCCTGCCTGGCCTCTGTCTCTCATACTGTGACTCCAGCCAGGCCGCTGGGCCCTGCAGGGGTTCGGTCCCAAGCCTTACAAGGTGCTGGGGTGGAGGAGCCCAACCCCAGGGGCCAACCTGGGCCTCCTCACAGCTCCTGGTCTCAGACTTAGGGGCACGGACCCACAGCCTTGCTCAGGCTCTGTGGCACCACCCCCTAGTCTGCACAGGTGCCTCCCCTTGTCCTGAGAGGTGCAAGCAGGCAGCTGAGACCAGGGAGGCCTTACAGAGCAGCCTGACCCACCCACCCGGAGCCTCCTCCAGGCCAGTGCTCAGTTACCACCAAGACAGTTGCCCCCACAATCTGCCCTGAAATGTGATGTGCAAAGATGCTGGGCCTTGTGCTGGCCCAGAGCCCTCCACCCCTTCACCTACTCTCACACAACTGCATTCACCTTGTCCAGCCATTCATTCCTCCACGGAGAGAGAGGGACAGCCAGAGCAGGCAGCAGCATTCAGAAGTGGGGGAGAGGCACAGGGACATTCAGAACTCAGTGACCCGGAGGGGGCTGCCTGAGGCTGAGCAGGGCACTCCTGTCCCCAGCTGGCTTAGGCACCAGGCAAGCTCCCCCAGCCCTGGGCTTGGCCTTGGGTCAGACTGGCTTTCTAGAAGTTCTCTGGGTCAGCAGCCTGCCCTCAGCTCTTGTCCACGCCTGAGCCCGGGAGCAGGAACCTTGGGGAGGTCCACTACCCTCCTGGGCCCTCGCCAGTCTCTCTGTCCACTCCCAGGCTTCTGTGTGGTCTCGGTCTCGTCTGTTAGTCCCAGCCTGTCCGGGGGGGGGGGGGCACAGTGAGCCCCATAAAGACTTTAGAGGGTTCATCTGTCCAGCTGCCCAGCGGGCCCTTGTGGGTAGGCATGACGGGCCCTCCCAGTCCAGGGAAGGTGCCAGCCTTGGTGGGAGGCCAGGTTTGGGGAGCAGAGGCGGGGGGGCAGGTCTCCCCTCTTGTCTGCCAGGAGTGGCCAATAGAAGTGCCACAGAAAAACCAGACAGGTGTGCTGTGTGCCAGGGCAACACTGTCCTGTCTGCTCCCTCGACAGTATATCCTACCCTAGAAAAGGCCTTTTTGTTCTGGTCCAGCAGCAGGATGCCCTCCTAGGGCCTCTCACACCCATCAATCAGCCCTGGAACCCATGGAGTTCAACAGGCACCACTTACGTGGCTCGTGATTAGACGCACCCCACCAATCTTTGTTGAGCACCTACTATCTGCCAGCCTGCCTGCCCCAGGGGCACCTTCCATCAGGGTGGTGGCTCAGGGATCCCTGGCTGAAAACAAGCCCTCAAAGCTTGACAGTGGAATGCAGCATTTCAGGACGTCTTGGGGTCTGTGGTGGAAAGTTCATCCTGGGTGCAGGGGACAGCTGGTCTCTAACACCAACAGCTGGGAGGACTTGAAGATTAGCTAATGGCTGGAGCCATGGGCACTGTCTTCAGGTCCACACCTGGCAGATGATGCTGGCTGTTGTCTGGACTCCGTGCGGTCTCCACACCTGGCTCATGAGGGCTGGGTGGGCTTCCTCCCAGCATGAAGGCTGATTCCCCGAGGGAGCAAGTGTCCAAGACAGCCAGGTGGCATGCCTGGCATTTCTGTGAGTCCCAAGGGGCACTGTTGGCTGAGGTGTGACAGTGGGAGGGCACAGATGCCACCTCCTATTGTAGTATCTTTGGAAAAAAGTCTTCCAGAGTAGAGGTCAGAGGGCAGAAAGTAAACCATAAATAATAAGTAAATCATTCAGTGTATCAGTTTCCTGTTGCTATGTAACAAATTAGCACAGTCTGACCACTTAATTCAGTTATCTCCCAGCTTCTGTGGTCACGAGTCCCGCAGAACCAACCGGTGGGGGTCTCTGCTCAGGGCCTCAGGGGGCCAGGGTCTCTTAGGAGCTTCCTCTGGGGAAGGGCCCTCGGGGGCGGGGGGCCCTCAGGTTGCTGGCAGGACCATTTCCTTGAGTCTGAGGCCCGGAAGCCCCTCTTCTTGCTGGCTGGGGGCTGGGGCGTCCTTGGCTACCTCTCCCTGTGAGTGCCGCACCAGGGAGCTGGATGTTTATTAGGTGATGTAATTACACCAGGTTCTATGTGGAAGCAGGTCCCAGGTCCTGCAGGCTCTCATGGGTAGGGGCCCCGTGAGGGCAGGACCAGCAGCACTGGGGAGACACCATGGGCCTGCCCCCTCGCCCGGCATGTGAGGTGAAAGGTCAGCAGGAGTGTGAGGGACCTAGTCTGATGGGGGAGGGATCGAGAGCTGCAGGTGGCCCCAAGGTGGGGTGCCCACTGTGCAGATGGGGGGCACAGCTCCCCTCACTTGGCCCTGTGATTCCCCATCTGTCCTGTTTGTGGGGCACGAGTTTTCTCATGCTCACTGTGTAACGCTCCATCAGAAAGTGCTGTGCTACCCAAGAAGCCATGCAGGGGGTCTAGGTGGGTCATTATTGTCTCTGGGAGGCAGCTCCTGAGCTGGGGCAAGTGGTCACCTGGCTGGCCACCGGCACGGAAGTGGAGACGGGAAGCTGCAGGCCTCCTTTGGCCAGCAGGGCCCAGCTGGCCTCTCCCTGGCCCGCTTCATCCCCAGGCATTTCCTCTTGGGTTGTGGCTGCAGGGCCAGCGCCCTCCCCGCCCAGGAGCCTGCTTCGTCAGCCACCAGTCTGGGTGCACTCAGAGCTGCCACCGGCCGGCGTCTCCCCCTTGCAGAGTGCCCAGCCTTCTGGAGCCCTCCATGCTGTCCTCCAGCTGGCTGCTTCTGGGCAATGGGCTACAGTGTGGGCAGTGGGTCTTGGGTCCCACTCCATCTGCCATCAGGTCTTGCGGGAGGAGGGGGCGGAGCGGCTCCCCAGTGAGTGCGGAGCCATTAGGGCTGACTCTGGAGAGGAGGGTGGGTGTCCAGCAGGCATGGTCCAGCTGCCCACAGTGGACACACCTGCCTTTCTCATTTCCTGTTGGTACCTACCTGGCACCTGGGGGGCAGGCATGTGTACCCTCATTTACTGAGAAGGGGAGTGCAGGGAGGAGGGAGGTGCGGGCCGCAGCTCCCACCAGGCTGAACCAACAACTGTGTCTGTCATTCTGTCTGTTCAGGCAGGAAGTGGAATTCACCCCCAGCCCCTCCCATCATCAAAGCTTCTCCCTTTGTGGAGAGATTAAGAAGGGCATCAAGCCCTGACCGGTTTGGCTCAGCAGTTAGAGTGTGGGCCTGCGGAACAGAGAGACCCGAGTTTGGTTCCCGCTAAGGGCACCTACCTTGGTTGCATTTTGTCCCCAGGGCCCCGGTTGGAGTCGTGTGGCTGGCGACCAGTTTGTTTCTCTCTCACATAGACGTTTCTCTCTCTCTTCCTCCCTCTCTCCCTCCCACTCTACCTGAAGATAAAAATGTAAAAATCCTCGGGTGAGGATTAAAAAAAGAAAAAGGGGCACCTGTGGGAAAGGCAGGCGGCCAAGCTGTCCCAAAGGCTCTGCAGCAGGTGGGCACTTAGCCCAGGACCCAGGTTGCCACTGGGCCAAGCACCCTGCACCTCCAGTGGCTGGAGGGGTGGCCAGGTCAGAATCCTGGCCCTGCGAACATTCGGCCCTTGGGCCAGGCCAGGGTAGGTGAGCTGCCCACAGCGGGCTCTGCTGTTTCCTGACGGGGTGGAGACCCCTCCAGACCCGCCGCCCTGCTGAATGAGTCTGGTGGCAGCCAAGGTCGCTTGTTGGACCCTAGGGAGAGCGTCATGGGACCCTGCGCAGTGCACCAGTGACGACCACCAAACGACTGAAAACGACTGCTCTGCTTGGCTGAGACCTGAGATCAGCCCTGGTTCTCGGCACCTTCCGGGTGGTACGGAGACACCACATCCCACAGGCAGAGCCTGGTGGAGAGCAGGACCCCTGGGTCCTTGTGTGACCTCAAGGGGGTGGGGTGCCCACCACACCCAAGTGTGGGCTGGGCCAAGGGATTGCATTTTTGAGCTGTGGACAGAGCTGCCCCTTATACCTGGGCTTAGAAGGGGCAGGCAGGGATGAGGGGTTGCACAGCAGCGCCACCTCCAGGCAGAGGGCGGAGCTGCGGGCCAGGGAGCGGAAGGACCCGCAGCACAGGTGTCGGGTAGGCAGTGATGTGGGCCTGGCTGGTACCAGCTCCCGGTCACCAGGTGGAGCCACCCTCCCTCTCTGCAGGGAGTCAGGAAACACCCAGGAAGGCCCTGTGCCCTCCAGGCCGTGGCCTTGGCCTCCCAGAGGCCCTGTCACACCAGACCCTGCCCCAGGCCCCCAAGCTCAGGTCACAACCCTCAGCCAGGCCTCCCTGGGGCCCCTGCAAATGGAGACACTTCCAGGGTAGGAGGTGCCTGAGCCTGGACAAGCTGACCCCCCCCCCCCCCCGACTGCTCAACCTGCCGCCTCCCTGCCTTGGCCTGGCCACTCTCTTGAGATGCCCAGGGGCTCCGGGAGGACCTCAGCTTGAGGGATCCTGGCCCCAGCATGTTGCATCCATGTCCCCAGGACTCCCTTTGGGCCTCTCTCCACAAATCATGTTGGCTTGGCCATGGGGGACAGGCTGCCCCCAACCCTCTGAACCATCGCAGGGGGCAGGAACAAGCCAGCATTCCCGCCCAGGGGCAGTGTGGAGGGTGCACCTTCCCCTGCAGGCCCTGTTCAGATCCAGGGCCTGGGGGGTGGCGGGCAGAGCAGAGGCCCTGGGAGGGGCTCTGCAGCCAGCCCCTCACCTTCTCCAGGACGCCTCTCCACCCAGCCTCCAGGTCCCACCAGGGGCAGCCTGCGTGAGTGAGTGGGCGGCAGGGTGACAAGCAGACAACCCAGCAGACAGACAGAGGACACAGACCTTTATTGCTGAACGTAAAATACCTGCCAGGGAGGCCTGGCTGGCAGCCTCTTCCCCAGGCAGGCGTCCCAGGGGAGGGCTGGGGGCGCACTACCACAGCCCCACCCACAGTGGGAATGGGCCTGTGGGTGGGCCCTGCCTGGCATCCCTCAGGGCAGGACGCGGGGGCGTGTCCTGGGTGGGGCTGAAGACCCAGAGATGGGAGGTGACAGGGCTGAGGGCCGGGCTGAGGGCCCGGCAGAGACCAGCCCGAGGGAGAGGGAGGCCCCGGGCTCGGGCTCGCACTGGTCAGGGAAGGCTGAGGGCCGGTGGGCAGGGTGACAGCTGCGTGACCCCACCTCTGGGGCGGTAGCAGGCGGAGCCTCCTTCCTGTCCAGGACTGAGGGGCTGAGGTAGGTGTGGGCTGGCACCCTGGGCCCTCACAGACGGGGTTTGATGTGCAGAGGTTTCCCTGTTCCAAGAAGGGCAGAGGTCAGGTGCCAGGAGCTCCGAGCAGGAGGAGTGTCCCACCCCAGAGCTCCCAGATGGAGAGTCTGTGCTCCAGGTCTACACAGCAGGGGCACTAGGAGGGCGGCAGCTCTGGACAGGCCCCCAGGGTCCAGCTGCCCAGTGGGGTGCAGGCCTGGCTCGCAGGGCTGAGGAGTGGTAGGTGGGCCCAGGCGGGAGCCACCACAGTGCACAGCTGAGCTGAGACCCAGGTGGGCCCAGGGCGAGACCGCCTGGCACATGCGTGGTGGCCGCACAGCGCCCGAGAGGGAGAAGCCAGGGTGTGCAGGCAGTTGGCTGAAGGGGCCGGGGACGCCAAGGGCCCTGTGCAGGGACACAGGGCGGCAGCTGGTGGTCAGGAGCAAGGGGCCAGAGGATGGAGGGTACCATCCAAGGGGCTCCTGCCCTATGTGCCCACACTTGTGGAGCACCAATGCCTCTCCCTTCCCATGAAGCCACAGGCCATGTTCCCGGGGGGCCACTGGTGCCTCCGTGTAGCTGCCTACAGAGGACTGTCCGTGAGCCGCTGCAAGCCCACCCTTCCTCCCGGGTGCCCTTCAGGACTGAGGACCCCAACCACCTGCTCAGCTGAGCAAAAACCCAGAAGCCAGGCCCAGTCAGCTGGGGCCCCAGGCCGATGGTCTTCACTGGCCTTGGCCCCTAATGCGTGCAGCCCGGGCAGGTGTAGTCTGGCCTCCTGCCCTGGGGCCCTCCCAGGCCCACCTCCATCTGCCCTCCAGTTCCCAGCCCTGGCCAGGCAGGGGTGAGGCCTGCGAAGGGAAGGAGGGTTGATGGGGGCCTGCAGGCCAGGAGGTCTTTGCAGCCTTCCTGGGCCCCACCTGCCCACCTGCGTCCTCTGAGTCTGGGGTTGGCTGCCGGGCCTTTATCTTACAAAGTAAAAGAGGGGGCTGCCCCCCCTCCCCAGTGAGCCACACCCAGTGGGAGAGCCCAGCCCAGCTCTGCCCCTGAAGTGGGGGCTGGATGAGGCGGCGCGGCTGAGCGTGCTCAGCGGAGCTTTGGAGGAGGCTGTGCAAGCATCTTCCATTAGCGTTACGACCGTGAAATATGACAATAGAATGACGGCCGTATGGTCGCAGATTTGCAGCCCGCCGAGCTGCGTGGGGTTTATCGTCACTCGGACGCGCAGAGAGCTGTAAAATGTTTACAGAGAGGGTCGTTTGCAGCCATAAAATCCTCTTTTCTCTCCTAAACAAGGCTGAGTGGAGCCATTTACCAAGCCCCAAATGCTCTTCGGGGAGAGGGAGCATCTGTTCTCTCCAGGAGTGTGCGCCGATCTTCCAGAACAAATTAACAGAAATGGGTGCTTTCTAATTAAATCAGCCCTTGGCTGGGGTGGTCTGTGCGCTCGCACCTCGGCGCCCGCCCCGCCCGCAGTGCAGGTGCTGCCCTGGGCTCCCGGAACCGTCGGCCCGCTGGGGCTCCAGGCCTGCTGGGTCCGAGGTGGGCATGAAACCCGGCCGTGCCGAGCTGGGCTCTGGGGCCGGCTGCCTACCTGAGTCCTTGGCCGGGGGACTCCGGGGGGCCTGGGCCCTGGGCTGGCCTGGGCTCGGGGAGGACCGCAGGGAGATGAAGGAAGGCAGCCTGGACAGGCTGCTGGAGCCCGTCGCTGCCGAGGCAGCCTCCTCCTGGACAGACGGCTCCTCCTGGTCTACGGACAGACAGGGGGAGGTGGGGGAAGGGGCAGAAGGGGAGGAAGGGGAGGAGGGGGCCTTCGACGACAAGGGACCAGCTGCGCCTGCAGCTAGGGCCCTTGCGGAGGAGAGAGGAGAGGCCAGGCCAGCTGCCGGTCTGGTGGGGCGCTGGGCAGCAGAGGACTTCCTGCGGGAAAGAGCCGGGGAGCAGCCGTGTGAAGTGGGCAGCTGCTGGCAGGGCAGGGTGCCCATCCCAGCAAGGCTCTCAGGCCCCCCCCTCCACCCTTCCTTCCCCAGCAGCCACCAGGCATCACCTCCCAGGTTCAGGGCCAACCCGCAGGCCCAGGACAGGCTGGGGACATCATGGGGCCGGTGAGCCCTGCACCACACTGCCCCTGACCTCGCCGTTCAGGGCCTGCCCTCTTCGTCCACACCCACAGGCAGGCGAGCAATGTGGGCCCCCGCTGTATGCAAGGCCCGGGAGGGGTCCTTCTCCCCTGGGGAGTGGGAGTGAGTGGCCAAGGATCCCCACCTTCCTCCATGGGGCAGGGGCTGGGGCACCTCTGAAGGCCACTTGATCCTCAACTTTGGACTGGGCTTTCTTTTTGGGTCTGAAGCTGAAAGGGCTGGATGGGGGGTAGGAGCTCCCTAGAGGGCCCTGAACGCCCCAGGAAGGGACAGGACGCTCTCTGACACCCCCCCCCACCCAGCTCACACACAGTGCCCACCCCCACCTCACCTGGGCCCGTGCCCGGTGGAGGCCCTGCACCTGGGGGGCACGTCGCTGGGCTCCAGGGCTGGGGGTGCAGCTGCCCGGCGGCCGAGGCGCTTCTGGTTGCGGTGGAGCAGCTGGCACTGGGTGCCCCGGGGGCAGGAGCCCCTGCGGGCGAAGTCGGGGCACAGCAGCGTGTGCTTCTTCTTGCACTGGAGGAGACGGTGCAGCTGCGTCAGGCCTTTGCACTGGGGGGGGGGGGGCAGCCTGCCTGCTCTGCGGGCTCAGAGCTGAGCTGGGCTCAGGGCCCAGGCCCAGGCTGGAGCAGCCCCGCAGGTGATGATGTCTGTACCGTGTGCCCTGAGCCACCTCAGGGCAAGGGCACCACCCTGCTGGGACTGAGGGCAGGCTGGGGGTCCTGCCAGGCTGGGTGGAGGTTCCCAGGGTGTTAACCCTTTCTTCTGACCACAGCTTGCCCACCCTGGAGGAAGATGGGGAGGGGTGGGATTGGGGGACTTGAAGCCTGGGGGAACCTCATGGGGCAGGGTTCAGGCTTCAAGCCTACGGGTGCGGCAGGTCGGCCCGGGGTGCGGCAGGTCGGCCCGGGGTGCGGCAGGTCGGCCCAGGGGTGCGGCAGGTCGGCCCAGGGGTGCAGCAGGTCGGCCCAGGGGGTGGCAGGTCGGCCCAGGGTGCGGCAGGTCGGCCCGGGGGTGCGGCAGGTCGGCCCAGGCCAGAGCAACCTGACCCACCACAGCCGTCAAGGCAGCTAATTATACCCTGGAGGGGCAGGGCCTCTAGGAGGTGCAGCTCCAGCCCCGCTGCGCCTCTTCCAGTGAGGGGGGTCCTGTTCTCCCCCACTCTCTGCCCCTGGCTTAGGAGGCAGGATGAGGGAGGAGAGGGCCAGACTGTAATAAGCCTGAGCACCCTGATGTCCCTCATGTTGGATCTGGAGAGAAGACCTGGACGAGAACCACTGCGCAGACCCTGCTGAGCCCAGCCAGAGCTGCCGCAGTCACAGTGCTCAGGGGGGTGCGCCAGCACCACAGGCCAGCGTCACCCTCTGTCGGGAGAGTCAACTGGCGGCAGCAAGTCTCCTCAGGACACAGAGCAAGTCTTGATGTCAAAGCCGGGGAGCTTCCTGTAGACCACGCACACTGACGAAAGGGCAAACCCGAACAGAAAACCCCCAAAGATCTGGAAATTCAGGTCACCACGAATAACTCATGAAAATTCGACGACGTCTAGAGCCCAGCGGGCCAGCGCCGGAATCCGCAGGCGCAGCCAGAGCAGCTCTCGGGTTAGGGGAGAGGGTCCCGCAAAGTCAGGGGAGACAGCAGAAGGACCCGAGGAAGCAGAGGGAAGAGAAGAACAGAAATGAACGAGAAGACAAAATCACAACAAAACCAGGAGAGCTAAAGCTGGTTCTCTGAAGACATGAGTGTGTCTGCAGTCAGACTCGTCGGGAAACGAGAAGGAAGATGCCGCCACACGAGGAGCGACGGCCGGGGCTGCCAAGACCCGCGCAACACAAGGGCCACTTCGTGAAAACACCGGCGAAACGGACAAGTTCTAGGAGGCAGACCGACAGGAAGGAAAAGGAGACCTGAATGACTGTTCCCAGGACCATAGAAAAACTTGGATCAGTGGTTAAAAATCGAGGAAGCCCAGGCCCAGGGTTTGACTGGTGGTTCCGCCCAGCGGTCAGGAGAGCAGAGAACACAGCCCAGCCCAGTTTATGGGCCAAAATCATCCTGAAACCAAAGCCTGACCAGGACTCGGTGACACTGACCGGGACTTGGCTGATAATGACCAGGACTCGGTGACAGAGAACATTTCGGCCGACCTCGCTGACGGACAGGCTCCGAGTCCTGCGTGAACTGGAACAAGCAGCCTCCTGAAGGGCCTGCGCTCACCGTTCGCGGGCTGTGCTCGCCACGACCCGCCTCGCTTGTCCAGTCATCATTCCCGAACTGGTACGCAGAGCAGGGTGAGATCCCAGCACGCGAGACAATCAGTGGAAACGGGGCTGCCCACAGAGCCCGCTCTGAGGCGGGCAGTGAGGAAGGTCCGGTTCGGAGAGGTGCTGACCGGGGGACTGCGTGCGGGGTGCACGTAGACTCTGCACTATGTTCACAATTTTTCCACGAACCTACAATTATTACAACGTAACAAGTTTATACTGAAACCCTGGATAGAAGAGACCAATTGCAGGGAAAATAAGCCAAAAGTGGCCTAACGAGAAAGAGAAGGGACAGTGTCCCCTGGAGGGCGGAGCAGACAGGCCTCTCCCGGCTCCTCCACTGAACCGCACGAGACCCCTGCAGGGGACCCGAAAGGCGGAGCGAAGGCAGCCCGCCAGGACCCAGGGACTGAGGAGGGACACCGCAGTGGTCCTGGGACTTCCTTCTGCTTTGTCATCCTGACTTGGAGCTGGAGAGGCTGCAACCTGGAGCATGAACAGGTGCAGATGAGGGTCAGCCAAGACAAGAAATGGCCTGCCCCAGCCAGACACCTCAGACACTGCAGCCCCAGCCACCCGGGACAGCAAAGGTGAGTGGGAATCTGGGCCCCTGTGTGCCCCCTCCCCCCACCCCTGGGCCAGGGTGGCTCCAGGGGAGGCTGAGTGGGAAGTAAGTACAGCCACCCCGCCAGGAGCAACAGGGACCCCCTCCTCAGGTGTCAGGGGAGGCTGAGTGGGGCCCACTCCATGCCTCCACTCCCCACCCCTGACTGCTGAGTGGTGTCGAGGAAACCAGCTGACACAGATTTAAGTAAGATCCGGACCCTCATAACGTAACACCCCAAACGCCCAGGCCTCCACAGAAAGTGACTCATCCTGACGGGAACAGGAAGACCTCAGACTGAACGACAGAGCAGCCGATGCCCAGGTGAGGCACAGCGGAGCCGGGGTCACGGCAGAGACTTGAAAGCAGCACAATAAGTATGTGTCAGTGAGCAGCTACAAGTAACCTGACCCCACAAAAACATGGAAGCTCTCAACAAAGAAAAGAAGATATAATGAAAAATTTATTTTCTAAAAATATGTTTCTATCCATTTTTAAAGAGAGAAAGGGAGAGAGAAATATCACTGTCACATCATTCAGTTGCCTCCGCACCTGATCTTGCAACCTGGGCTTGTGCCCTGACCGGGAATCGAACTGTCGGCCTTTCAGTGCACAGGACGATGCCCAGTCCACTGGGCCACACCGGCCAGGGCAGAAATTTTAGAACTGAAAGATACAATAACAGAAATAAAAAACTCAGTGTATGGGCTCCTCAGCAGAGTGAAGGGCACAGAAGAAAAAACTGGTGACCTGGAAGATAGGGAAATAGAAACTAACCAATACAGCCTGGCCAGTGCGGCTCAGGGAATTGAGCGCCGTCCCCTGGACTGAGAGGTCCCAGTAGGACTCCGGGTCAGGGCACATGCCTGAGTTTCAGGCTCAATCCCCAGCAGGGGGCGTGCAGGAGGCGGCCAACCAATGTTTCTCACAGCCATGTTTTTCTCTCTCCCACCCCTTCCCCTCTCTCTTAAAAAAAATCGAAAACAATTAGAGAAAAGTTAATGAAACAAAGAGCTGGCTCTTTGAAGATTAATACAGGGTGGGGCAAAAGTAAAGTAGGCTAACAGTTTTGAGTACAGGAAACAGAGTTTATTCCTGTATTATTGCTCATTAATTATTGTATTATTGTCCACACAAACTTTATAAACCTACTTTTGCCTCACCCATATTAACAAATCTCTAGCAAAACAGAGAAAAAAGAAAAGTTGTAAATTTCCAATTCAGGAGAGAAAGGGTCCCTACAGACCCTGCAGACACCGGCAGGGAGCTGGGGTACATCGACAATCCTGCACACGTGCATCGAACGACACAGGCGGAATGGACCACCAGCTCGTCAAACAGCCTCCAGAACTGACTCGAGAAGAAACAGAAAACCTGACTAGACCTGCGCATAGTGAGGAGACTGAATCAGCACCGAAACCTGTGAACAAAGAAAGGCCCCCACCAGACGGCTACCCTGGTGACTTATGCTGAACATGTGAAGAATTAACACCCATTCTTCAAAAAAACTGAAGCGGGGGAAATACTTCCTAATTCCAAACAGCCAAAACAGTCTGTGAAGCCAGACTTACCTTGATACCAGAACCAGACACAGACACCACAAGAAAAGGAAACTAGAGATCAATATTCCTTGTGAACACTGATGCAAAAATCTTCAACAAAATACTGGAAAACAGAATTGAGCAGCACATTAAAAGAATTATATATCATGACCAAGTCGGAATTATTCTCAGAATGCAAGGATTCTTTGACATCCAGAATCAATCAATGTAATTGTGACTCAATACAATTGATTGACTACCTTACTAAAACAAAAGGGAAAAAAACAGGAAGCCTGCCCGGTGTGGCTCAGCGGTTGAGCGCTGACCCATGCATCAAGAGGTCGCCGGTTCGATTCCTGGTCAGGGCACACGCAAGGTTGTGGGCCCGATCCCCAGTGGGGGGCGTGCAGGAGGCGGCCAGTCGATGTTCTCTCTCATCCATGTTTCTATCTCTCTAAAATCAATAAAGAAAAATTACAAAAAACAACCACAATCATCTCAATTAAGGCAAAATGATTTGAGAAGGTTAAACACCTTTTTCTGACAAAAAACACCAAGTAAACTAGACACCTGTGGAAGGGAGCACCCGCAACAAGCTGACGATGTCTGTGACAAGCCACCACTGCATCCTGGTGGCGACGGGAACCAGACAAGGTGCCCCCTTCACCCTTTCAGTCCACACAGTGACGGGAGTTCCGGCAGAGCATTAGGCAAAAATAGATCTAAACAATAAAATAACAGGCATCCAAATAAAAAGTAAAGAAAATTATCTGTTAGCAGGTGAAGAAGCCACACACAAAAAAAATTGTCAGAGCCAATAAATTCAGCAAAATTCCAAGATATAAAATCAACACACAAAAACAATTACATTATCACAGACTTGCAACGAACAATCTGAAAAGGAAGTTCAAAGCACTTCATCCGTAACACTCAGGAGCAGACCTGGCCCGGAGGCGGCAGTGTCGCTGCACCGAAAGCCACGGAGCGCAGACCCAAGTGAAGGGGACACGTCTCGCTGGTGGACCGGAAGACCCACAGCAGGAGGACACCATCACCCAAAGCCATCTACACACTCTGAAATCCCAACAAAATGCCCAAGGCCTTCTTTTATTTTAATTTTTTTACAGAAATAGAAAAACCCATCCAAAAAAATTCATAGGGAATCTCAAGGATCCCTGAATAGGAGAAATGATCTTGGGGAAAAAAGAACCAAGTTTGAAGGACTAACATTTCCTCATTTCTAAACTTATTTCAGAGCTGCAGGGTTACAAACCTGCACAAGGACAGACGTGCAGACCGATGGGCAGCACAGCGAACCCGGAGGCCCACCCTCATAAACGGCCCACAGACTCGTGACAAGGGTGCAGGACCAGCCGCAGGAAAGCAGTCTCCAGGCAGCGGCGCTGGGAAGGCTGGACACCCGCACGCAAGAGAATGAGGCTGGGCCCAAATCTAATGCCTGTACAGAAATTAACTCAGAATGGATCCAAGACCTAAACTTTAGGGTTAAGACTACAAACTCTTCCAAGGAGAGACTGGGAGCTTCCTGTCACTGCACCTGCAAAGCTGCTCGGCCACGACCCCCGCAGCACAGGGAGCAGGGCGACAGCACACAAGCCCGTGCGCAGAGGCCACCGCGAACCCCACGGCCTATGTTTATTTCCAATTCAAAAATGGGCAAAGGACTTGAATCGACATTTCACCAAAGATGACACACCAATGACCAATAAGCACACGCAAAGATGCTCAGGACCCCCGCAGCACAGGGAGCAGGGCGACAGCAGACAAGCCCGTGCGCGGAGGCCACCGCGAACCCCACGGCCTGTGTTTATTTCCAATTCAAAAATGGGCAAAGGACTTGAATCGACATTTCACCAAAGATGACACACCGATGACCAATAAGCACACGCAAAGATGCTCAGGACCCCCGCAGCACAGGGAACAGGGCGACAGCAGACAAGCCCGTGCGCGGAGGCCACCGCGAACCCCACGGCCTATGTTTATTTCCAATTCAAAAATGGGCAAAGGACTTGAATCGACATTTCACCAAAGATGACACACCAATGACCAATAAGCACACGCAAAGATGCTCAGCGTTGTTAGCTGGGGAAGCGCAAATCAAAGCCTCAACAAGAGCCCACCCACCAGGATGGCTATTAACAAAAGGGCAGTAACAGTGCCCGAGGGTGGGGGAAACCTCCGTGCTCTGCTGCAGGAAGGTGAGCAGTGCGGCTCGGGCTCGGGCTCCGGCTCGGGCTCCGGGAAGCAGCTGACAGGTCCTCGGGAGCCAAGTGGGGAATCGCCGTGGGCCCCGACAGTTCCACTGCGAGGTGTCTGCCCCAGCAGCGAAGCCTGTGTGCACACGGACGTGCACACGGATGTTCTCAGCAGGGCCATTCAAAACAGCTCCCAGCTGGAAACGACCCGAATGCCCGTCCACCGGTGAAAAGCCAGACTGTGGTCCCTCTGCAAAGGAGACCATTCAGCCACAAGGCTGCCGACCCCCACGTGGCTGGTTCTGCCATACCCGGTCTTACATAAAGGAAGCAGGCCCGGAAGGGCTCATGGCTCCACGGGGCAGGGAAGAGGCAGGACTGGGGGACCTATGTCGAGCCTGCCCCATTCGGCCCGGAAAGCCACACTGGAGATGAGGAGGAGGGTCGACCCCTTGTGGCCTGGAGTTGGGGCAGATCCTGGAACAAAGACCCAAAAAATGGGAGAACTCTGCCCCTAAAAGGAGGAAGGGTTCCAGCCTAAGGGCGAAGTTGCAGGTGGTGGCAGAAAGGGAAATGCTGTCTGTAGTCTGGAAAGCACAGAATGACATCCAGAGGACACAAGAGCTTCTGCAAGGCAGGAGAGGCAGGGGACAGGCCCGCGCAGAGGAGGCGTCCGCAGGGCAGCGAGTCACTGCTGGAAGACCCTGGAGGCAGCGGAGACTTGAGGAAGCCCAGGGAGGACGGGAGAGAAAAGGGCTGGCTGCAGTCTGCGTGGGGGGCCAGTGCGACCTCAGTTTCTGTGCTGAGGGGTCCGTGGGGTAATTCACACGTACGCAGTATTCCCCAGCTCTGTACGTACTGGACACAGTGAGCACCGGGCGCCCAGACCAAGGGTTTACCCACAAGGAAAGGAGCAGCCCCAGGAGGGCGCCTGTGCAGGGCCGGAAGGAGCAGGGCTGCAGCAGGGGAGCCCGAAGTGCCCAGACGCGCAGCAGGGCCACGTGCACCTTGGAGTGGACAGGGACAGTGATGGTCTGCGGCCCACAGAACCCCTGCTGTGCGGACCCACGGCCAGGCCAGTCTCTTCCTCAGACAGCGCCGCCAGGAAAGGTGGAAGGGACGCGCGGGCGGGCACAGCGGACAAGCAGTGGCTGTCAGGCCGGTGGGGGGGTGGGCTCCCCGGAGTCTCTCCCCACACATGCACTAGGCAGGAGACACGTGGGCAGCTCGATGCCGTCACATCAGGTGATGGGAGCCCAGGGCGTCCACGGGGAGGAAAGCACCCTTGCTGTGCCTCTGGTTATCGGCCCGAGAGCCCAGAGTCAGAGGGCTGCGGAAGGACCAGAGGTCCCTCCCGGTCTGAGTTGTTCACAAGAAAAGGGATGAGCCTCTTTAACAGCTGGGCTTCAGGAAGCAAGGTTAACAATTCCACTTGGCTCAGTGGGGTACTGTAGACTCTCTGGGGCCCGCTCGAGGACGTGCGCCAGGCGAGGTGCCCGCTCAGCACTCTCTGTATTATGTAGAGAATCGAGTTAACCCTCCCAGGCCCGGGCTGCGCCCGCCACTGCAGCCTGCTCAGCGCTTTCCCGCATGATTACGAGCTGCCATCCGTCATGTGGCGGCCACGCAGCGCCCACACGCTGGAAGGGGCTCAGTAAGCACTTCCACGAACAGAAGCAGAACTTAAATATAGCTTTGATACTTCATTTAAGTTGGAATATTTTACAATAATCATCCACGTCCTCCATGGGGGTCCTGTCCAACCCCCCACCTGGGGCTGGGCGTCCTTCAAGGTGACCTGTCCACTCCGGTCAGGTCCCCAGGTCTCCACCTGGTGGAAGGAAGAGGCCAGGCCCGCACCCCGTGCCTGCGGTCAGTCCCTGTGGCCTCCGCTTCCCGGGGAGCCCAGACCAGCCGCAGGCCCGAGGCAGGGCGGTCATTCACAAGGGTCAGGTCAGGGTGCCAGTGGGCCCCTGGTCAGGCCTTCTCTTTGGGTGCCAGGGACTGAAAAGACCCGTCCAGAGGTCCTGAGACCAGGGCCATTTGACCACGAAGCCCTCCGCCCACAGGTCCATGCAGGGACAGGGAGGGTGATGGGACATGGTGCGGAGGAAGGAGGCAGCCTGCTCAGCTGTCCGGAGCCCCGCACCGCAGCCCTCACACTGACAGGAGAGGCCAGGCGGCACTGCAGCACCTTGAGCGCCCCAACCCCAGCTCCCTCACCCCTAGCGCCGCCTTGGGTCTGCAGGCTCCAGGGAGGGCCCAGGAGCCGCTGGCCCGTCGCTGGGTGCCGCCCACCCCGCTCACCTTTGCGCCCAGCGGGCAGTAGCCTTTGAGGAAGTCGGCGCAGACCTCCGCCTTCCGGGACACGTAGACGTGGCTGTAGGGGCAGCTGCTGTTGCTGCAGACGCCCTTCAGGAAGTAGGAGCACACGGGCATCTGCGGGGGGCAGGGGTGAGGCCAGCGGTCCGGCAGCCCTCCGCCAGCCTCGGCACCCAGGACTCCAAGGCCCTGCCTGTGCTCCACGGACAGACTGTGGCTGGAGACCCGCACAAGGTCCTACCCAGAGGAGAAGCGGACACAGGGTGCTGGCCTGCAGCCGCCAAGAGCACCTGGTGGGGACGTGCAGCCCGGGCGGCCAGAGGTAGAGCCCACCTCCTTCCCACTGGGCACAGAGGCCTGAGAGCCAGCAGGAGGGTCTCTGATCTCACCCACCTGACCTTTGCAGTCACCCCTGTTCTAGGTAACTTCTCTCCGGGACCCTTGGACCAGGGAATGGTCACTGCCACCGCCCACACCGGGTCACCCCTGCGGCCTCACCCCTCCTGGGGTACTCTACAGGGGGAGGGGGGAGAGGGGGAGAGAGCTCGCCCTCCTCATCCTTCCTGCTGGCCAGCGCCCCTGTCGGACCCCGAGCTCCTCACGGGCACTGTTCTGGGGGGAGGCTGAGGAAGGAGAGAAACAAAGGGCGATTTCTGTGCCTGTGGGTTTATTTCTGATCGTCTTTAACTGCAGCGCAGAGGGGAGAGGGGCTGGCACGCGGGGCTGGCGGTGGAGGGGCTGCAGACAATCCCCTTAATGTGGCTTTTGATCTAGAGCCCAAATTAGCTCTAATAAAAAGGATAATAAAGCCAGCACTACACCAAACGGAACTCCTCCTCACTGTCAGCACGGCCATTATCCAGAGAAAACGCGTTCTCATTTCAATTAACCTCGTTTGCACCCACCACGTCCACACAAATAACAATAACATTAATTCAGGGCGCTGGCGCGGCGTCCACATTAGACAGCCCGGAAGGCGCGCAGGCTTTGGAGCTGGGAGCTAATGAACCCGAAACTCGACGTGAATTTCCAAACTGCTCACAGCAGAACTTGGAGGCTCTATTAGGGAGGAAAATGCTGATTCTTCTCAAGCTCCTCAAGGGGAAAAGCTGTTGTAGCAGCATCGCCCCTGCCGGATGCACCTCCCTAACCTCGCCACAGGCCCACTCTGCACGTTCCGGGCTCCCCACCAGCACTAACCTATGACCTGAGCGCCCTCAGCATGTGCTGGGACGACAGGCCCTGCCCGGGCTCTGCCCCCACCAGGGGCCTGCATGACGGGTCCTCTCACCTCAACCCACAGGGTAGGGCCTGGACCAGAAGGCCCAGCTGTGTGCTTCCCTGTCCCCTGTGACGGGCACCTCCAGCCCCTCAGCACACCCATGTCACAGGCTGTCCCTTGCCAATCCTGGGTCTGCACCCTGCACAGCAAGGGGGCACCTGTGGGCCACGGGCCCGGCGTGTGGTAGGAGGTGGGGGTGGAGGCCTCCCATGTGGCATGTGGACACCCTCCAGGTCGGCTGGGGTAAGAGCCAGATGAACAGAACAGCCCCAATGTGGAGGTGGAGGGGCAGAACCTGCGGGGCAGACACCCAGCTCCTCACGGAGACCAGGAGACCAGGGTCTGTGTGTCCTCAGCCCCGAGAAAACTTTGGGGACACCACCTGCCAGGAGCATACCCGGTACCTCCGAGCACCCACCTTCTCCTTGGAGACCTGATGGGAGAAGGGGCAGGTCCCGTCTGTCTTCTTGCACGTGCCCCGGACAAACCTGTGCACATGGTGAAGGGAGTTTGAGGGGCTGGTGAGGCCGGGCAGGCCCTGGCAGACCCCACGCCACCCCACCGGGAGGCCCCTGGGCGGCACCTGGTGCACACGGCCACCTTCTCAGGGTCGTGGATGTAGGGGCAGTGCTGGCCGCGGTTGCACCTGCCGAAGCGGTTGTAGTACATGCAGTACTCCGGCTCCGCTCTGCGCCGCCGCTGCCGGGCCTGCCGCACGATGGCCAGGCTTCTCTGCACGGCCCGGCTGTGGGCAGAGGGTGGTGTGAGGGACGGCACACAGCCCTGCCCTCCGCACAACCCCGGGCACCTACCTGGCCAGGGAGCGGCTGCAGCTGCCAGCAGGGTCCAGTCGACCTGTGGGGAGAGAGGACAAGTCAGGCCAGGTCGTACCCTTGGCCTAGGCCCCTTGGGGTCCCCTCCCTCAGCTTAGGCACCGCTGTCCCCTCCAGGAGACCATCCCCAACCCTCCCCTGGGGCCAGGACCCTGACAGGCCCCTCAGGGACAGGACGCTGAGAGGAGAGCTGATGGGCCACCCGCACCTCCTACATGTGCACTGCGGGGTCGCACCGGGACAAGGCTCACCTCAGGGAGGTAGTCCCAGGGACGGAGGGGGGACCTCCTACATGTGCACTGCGGGGTCGCACCGGGACAAGGCTCACCTCAGGGAGGTAGTCCCAGGGACGGAGGGGGGACCTCCTACATGTGCACTGCGGGGTCGCACCGGGACAAGGCTCACCTCAGGCAGGCAGTCCCAGGGACGGAGGGGGGACCTCCTTCACACACCCCTCTGCCTGGAGCAGAGCCCAGAGGCACGTGACTCAAGTTGGTCCTGGAGATGCCTCCTGGCTTTTCATGAGCCAAGAATGGGCTTTACACATTTACAGGTTGTAAAAGAAAGACAGGAAAAGAAGCACGTGCCACAGGCCCGACACACTGCCCAGGTCTGCAGGGAGTGGTGCCCACGGCACTGCCGGGGTCCTGGTGGCCCAAGGGATTCTGCTCATAGAGTGAACAGTGGTGACAGGAAGGAGCAGCAGGGGACGCTCACGGCCAGGGCAGCGGGGGTTCGTGTGGGGCCAGAGACACAGGCAGCCCTGTTCTGCACCGGTGTGAGCTCACCCTGCAGGGCAAGGGTCCAGACTAACATAGGGCCCCTGCCTGCCTTTTAGACACAAGGTCACCTCCCAAGGAGGGCGGGACGGGGCAAGAGCCTCCTGCGGATGACCACCAAGTCCCCAGTTACACACATACAGAGCCCTTCCCAGACCAGATCCAATTTCCCACAGGCAACTGCTGCAATGGATCAGGTGGTAGGAGGCAAATGTGACATCACTCAGAAATTCTAGGGACCTGGGCAATGACAAAGCACCCAGGCTTTAAAGGGCCATCCCCACGCTTCCTAGCCCTGAGCCGCCCCATCAGAGCCGCATGGGAGGCCTGGGCAGGTGCCCCTGCCCCTGCCTGCTCTCCCCAGGGTGACCTTTCCCAGAGTCCATCGACTCTGTCCAGCTCCTAAGCTCCAGACCCAGTCACACAAGCTTTGAGATGCCACACAGCCTGTCCAAACCCAAACTCCCTTGTCTCCCACAGGCTGGACCTCAGATACCCCATCATCTCCACATCGTACCCGCTACTAAGCCCTGACCACTCCCTGGGTACTCCGTGTGCCCTCTCCACACCTGGCCCTCACTGCCGCCCGGAGCGACCCCCCGCCAGCGCCGGCCCCTCTCTGAGCCTGTCTCAAGCCGAGAAAGGGTGTCTCCCAGGCTGGCGGCGGGAGCCCAGGAGGGAAGTGCCCTGCACGCGGCCAGGCTGGCAATGCTGCAGGAGACCAGGGCGTGGACGGGGCTCTGGGTGTGAGGGGCCAGCAGGGAGGGGTCTTAGGGCAGCCCCAGGCTGGGGGCACCAGTCCTGGGGGAACACGGGGGGCCGGCCCAGGTGGCACGTGGTACCATACATCTGCCAGCTGGTGGGTGACAGTGCAACTGGATAGCTGTCGGTGATCGCGGCTCCTGGGCTGTCACCCAGGCTGCCGGTGACGCTGTGGCGCCATCTGCTCCTGCCAGGGACTGCTGTCATCGCGTGTCCACGTGTCAGACCGTGGCCCCGGCCTGGCCTCGCCTCTGAGGGGGACAGGTTTACTCCCCTTCCCACTTTTTTACTCTTAAAAAGATGCTGGTGTGGGGTTCACGTGGGAGTTTTATCAGGAACAGGAGGCACTTTTTCAAATGCTTTGCAGTGTTAAAAAATGCACATAAAGTAGCTCACTTGAACGGAGGCCGAGGAGGCGCTGAGAGGTGCTAAAAAGTTCAGCTGAAACCCGCAACCTGGGAGCAGGAGGCGCTGAGCCTCGGAGAGAACTTGCACTCCCTGGGGTCGTCCCGAAATAGACCTGCGCAGCCGCAGCCCCACCCCCACTGTCTGTCCCTGCCCAGGCTGCACCCCTTCTTGGACAGGGAAGACTGGCACCTGGGCTGGCTCCAGTGACAGAGGGAGCCCTAGGAAGAAGGGAGGGAGGAGCAGTGGATGGGTGCAGGCTGCAGACAAGCTGATCAGCCCTCTGTGGGTGTGACTCGCAGCAGCCACGGTGGGGTCACCTGTCACAGGTCACAGGCGGGAAGCAGCACGCAGACCCAAGACCTGCCTGGGGGCTCGTGATGGCCGCCAGCAGCAGGGAGGAGACTGCCCACGTCTGCCTGGCTCTAGGGTCCAGGGGCAGCCCTGCAGCCCACGCCAAGCAAGGTGGCCCTGGCAGGAGGACTGGGGACTCTGCTCCTCCACAGGGACCAACAGGCTCTCGGGCCATGCCGGGCACAAGGCCCAGGGGAGCACCCGTCGCAGCCCACTCGAGTGCACCCAGGTCTCTGGCCAAAGCATGGTGCTTGGGGTTTCGGGATGGCCCTTTGGTGGGCAGACCTTGGACCCACAGGGAGACACTTGGTCCCAGGGTTCAGGGAGGCTGAGGCCCACCCCCAGGAAGACGCAGCCCTGAGACTGCACTGCTCCCCGAAAGCCTGGGATGCTCACCAGCGCCGGAGGGACAGAGGAGGAGGGAGGTCAAGGAGGCTGCGCCTTCTCGCTGAAGGCGGTCCCTCTGACACCACGGGAGGGAGTTTACCCTAGTCACCACCCTAGGTGCGCCCTCAAAGGGGATGCTGGTCAGGGCACAGACAGGGAGGCGCAGCGAGGAGCCCACCCACAGGGAAGCCGGGCCCTGGCACAGTGGGGAGCCCTGGTGGGTTCTGTCCTGTCCTGTCCCCACTCCCTGCCTGGGCCCTGAGGGTGGGAGGCTGAAGAAGAGTCAGATGGGGCCTGTGCTGGGGAGGAAGGGAGCACCCCCAGGTGGCCAGTGGGGCTCTCCCTGGGGCCAGACTCGGGGCCCAGCAGGTGGCTGCAGCGTGTTCCCAACACAGATGTCTGAGTGCAAACACCCCTCCCCTCCTGCCTCTGGGCACCTCTCCGGCCATGGATGCCAGGGGGTTGGAAGGGACAAGCAGGGACAGAAGCAGCCAGGTATGGGTGCAGCCCCATCCCCACGGGCCCACGTAGCCTACCTGGGATGGGGTTCATGTGGAGATGGTCCCCATGCAGTTAGGGCATGTGGACAGTCATGATGGCCCTAAACCACAACCCGCACCTGGGCCCCTGCTGTGGACAGTGTAAGAGCTAAGACAGGCAAGGTCAGGTCTGGCCAGAGAAGAGTCCCTAAGACCTGGTTTGTGTACACGGCACCCAGATCACTGAGGGCGACATGGGGGGGTACGGTGGCCCCATAATGTTCCCAGTAAAGGAAACAGCAGACTGTCCAGTGAGGACTGTGGGGAGCAGAGCCTGGGTCCTGCCAGCCAGCAGGTCAGCTTGGGGGTCAGGGTAGGACCACAACAGGAGGTGACGTCAGCCAGTGCCCAGTGTGCCCTATGCCAAGGAGGCCCCAGGGGAGACTGGGGCCAGGGGTTTCAACCCAGAGAGGCCACCACAGGGGCCAATCAGACGTCACTGGTTGAGTGGGCCATGAGCCAGCCCCCTGAGTCTCCATCACCCTGTGTAGAGCCCGGCTCAGGGGTGGGGGGGCAGGTGGGGAGCGCTCTGCTTCGTTCATGGGGAAACAGTGGATGGAGGAGGGTCTGAGGCCCCTGACCTCGTCAACGCCAACAAATGTGCATGGGGCCCATGGACCATGAACACAGATGCCAGGGCCTTTGGGCTCTGAGGGTCAGAGGCAACCAGAGTGGGGCCTGGTGGTGGAGGGACGGCCTGACCCAGCACAGCATCTGTGGGCGGAGCCTCTGCCATCCCACCACCTGCAGTCTTGCCCTTGGTTGTTTTTGGGGTTTTTTTTCCCCTTTCTTTCTTTATTGATTTTAGAGAGAGGGAAAGAGAGACAGAAACGCCGATGAGAGGGAACATCGACTGGCCTCCTCCTGCCTGCCCCACACTGGGCATCAGACTCAAAACCTAGGCCTGTGCCCTGACTAGGAATCGAACCAGTGACCTCTTGGTGCAGGGTCAGCGCTCAGCCACTGAGCCACACCAGCTGGGCTTGCCCTTGTTTTTTGATAGAAAACGAAGAGGGTAAAATTGAACTGAAACCAAAATATTTTTCTAGTTAATTTGTACAATAAGCGAGTCCAAAGCACTTCCTCCTGCTCGGCCTGCTTCCCCTGGCCACGGCACACGTGTGGCGGCGGTGGCCGCCTCCTAACACAGTCGGGAGGTGTTGCCAATGTGATTCCGGGTGCCGTGGCCCCAGGTGTTCACTCGCCCAGCCCTGTTTACCATACCTGGCTCATCTCCTTCGTCCAGGAGTGAAACAGAAAATCGGAGGCTGCTCAGCCAAGCGAGAGCTGTCGCCTGCCCGAGGGGCCTTCCCTAGGGACGCAGAGGCTGCAGGGCTGCCCACGGCGCCTGGCCTGCCCCACCCCCAGAGGAACAGCAGGGCAGCGGTGCTGTGGGCGCTGAGGAGCGAGAGCACGGCTAGGACGCAGCCGTACGGACAGCATTCATTCGGACGGGCATAGGAGCACCTCAGGAGCCACCGCAGAGACTGACCTGCACGCAGGAGGGGCCTGCTCCCCTCACCACTGGGCCGGCCGTAGGTCTTGGAGAGCTTGTTGGCCGACACCCTGTAGAGCACCCCTCCGATGCAGCGATAGCCTCTGTCCCGCCACCGAGGGGAGCCAGGCTGGGCTCTTCCACCCCCTCGAGTAGGGCGCAGGCGATTCAGCACCAGGGACCTGCAGGCACAAGGAGATGCCAGTCAGCCCAGCCCCAGGGCCCCAGGCCGGAGACCTCGTTCCCCTGCCCCACAAGGCACAGAAGGTGGTGCCCCCAACCCCATCAAACAGGTTGGGACTGCATGAGCCACTGAAGGGTCACAGGGAGGGGACAAACCTCCTCCTCCAACATGCACCCCAGAGACATGACTGCCGGGCCCCGGAAGGAGACCCGACACCCTCACTTAGAAATGCCCCTGCAGACACCAGGCACCCCAGTGGGATAGCCACAGGCCCCCAGGCTGCCTGGGCAGCACCGCCCATGGCCCTGCAGCTGTCACATGGGCAGGCGTCACCAAGACGGGGGGGGGGGGGGAGGCCAGTGTGCAGACCAGCCAGCCTCGTGACTCCAGAATGGCGTGGGGTTCACCCCTCAGGACAAATTTCAGTAGTGATTTGTTTATGCAAATTGAGCTTAACTCCACATCATCTCAGACTCTGTCCATGACGCTGTTAACACTGAGCCCCTGTGCTCACTGGCCAGTCTGGGCAAAGGAGTAGGGCTGTCACCTCTCCCCAGACAGCCCACTTGGCCCCGCTGGGGAGCAGGCTGAGGTGGCAAGGAGACGATGAGGATCCAGGCCCTGCTGACGCTTGTCCTGGGTGCTCATGCTGAGGCCCCCACAACTGTGCATACGAACCCCCAACTCCACCCCGGGCAGCAGGAGGCCCTTTCCTGGCACCCAGGGCCACAGGGGTGCTGAGGCTCTGAGGAGTGCCACGGGACAGGCAGGCCTCGGGGTGTCCTAGCACCAAGGCAGCCAGGTGGACTCGCCCAGAAAGGAGGTGCTGTGTGAGCTGCCCTGCAGCCCGTGGGCCTCGGCCTCTCCATCTGCGAGCTGGGGTGACTCTCGCCAGCCAGCAGCCTCCAAGACCCGCTGGGGAGTGACGTGTGCCAGGGAGCGGGCACCGGGGGACCCAGAGCTGCGGTGTCAGTACAAACGCCAGGCGGGAAGCGCAAGGAGGCCGCCCGCCGGGAAGCACTTAACCCAGTTTCCCTTCATTAACTTCAAGTTCGCAAGCACCAGTCTTGGAGGGAACAAGCCCCAGGCAGGGACCTGGCCACACGGGCCCGGCTGTCCCCGCCCGATGTGTGCCAGCTGCCCCACACAGGGCACGTCTGGGCAGGAGGGCGGGTGGGCGGGCACCCTCGGGGGGAGGCAGGCGATCTCCAGCTCCCTCAGACTGGGGGCCAGGCCAAGGTGTGAGGAGAGAGGGGCAGGGCTGGCAGGGGTCTTCTCCCGTACCAGCCCCTCACTGCAGAACCCTGTCAGCCCTGGGGACACGGAGGTGGCTTGGACCCTCTGCAGGAACTGTGGCTACTGTTCTCGAGGTGCAGCTCCACCCGAGTCCTGATTCCCACAATCCAGAGCTGAGCCCAGGCCGGTGGACAGCCTGACAAGTCCCTAACAGCCCCGGGGGACCCCATCCTCCAGGGCTGTGGAAGAAACTGCATTCCTGCGTGGTGTCATGGGGCTGCCTGGAGGAGGCGGACACGCCCACAGGACTTGAGGAGGGCTGGCCAGGGCCTCAGGGAAAGAGCCCACCTGTCCATGGAAACAGGCCCAGTCTGCAGACCCACCTCGTCCCTCCCTCACCCTGGCTGGTCCCTGACTGCAGACCTGTGGCTGGGCGGGCACCGGGCAGGAGCTGAGATGGCGAGCAGGGCGCCCGCCCCAGTGCCCTGCAGCTTCTCGTGGCTGCGGGTGTCACCGCACTCCAGTAAATTGTTACCCTAATGGAGAGGACAGCCTTTGGAAACGAACTGTATTGAGAAGAGGGGATAAAATTAACGAGATAATAGCAGGGCCAAGGACCTGGAGAACGCTCCTGCCCTCACCCAAGGGCCTGGTAATTCCTTTTCTACAGCAGGAGCCTCAGGTCTAAAGGCTTCTCCCCTCGTCCGGCGGGCCCACGCCGCCAGGAAATTTCATTAACGCTGGAAAATAGGAAAGGTATTAAGCGTGGATAATGAAGGCCAGGGAGGGAGCCGTGCCTTCGGATGGTCCTCTTTCTCGCCTTTGTAATGGGAGGCATGAACTTTCCCTTCAAATCCATTTCTAATCCATTTGAAATACTACAGCAAATTATCTCTCCTTCAGCCCGAAAGCGGCCAGCCAATTTACTCCGAATAGAAGTGACAATGCCCCAGGATTTATCACCATAACCTTGACTACACCAGGGTGAGGGCTGGGCTCCCCTCGGCTCCCACCCCGGGGGGGCACAAAGGACGGGTGGGGGGAGATAACATTTTAAATGAAAAGCGGTGGTAACGGGGACAGACACACACACCACAAAAGTACCTTTGAAGGGAGAGCTGTCCGCTGTCTGCTGCACGGGGAGCAGCGGGCAAGCTCCGGGCCCAAGGCCGTGCCGCTGGTCAAGGGCCCTGTGTGAGGGCGGGTGGGGACAGGGCAGGCTGTGCCAGGAAGTGGAGTGGAAGAACCAGGGAAGAGACCCCGAGGAAGGTGTCAGGGTCTGGGCCAGACAGGGAGGCTCTCCTTGCGAAGCCGGGGACCAGGGCAGGCGGGTGCGGAGTGCCCACTCTGCCAGGCCTGTCCAGCCCTGCAAGGGCTTTGTAGGCCCACTCTGGACACCCAAGCTCTGCTTATTCAAACCCGAGGTTCCCAAGGCCTTTCCTGGCACAGTGTGCCCAGCCCCAACCGCAGCCTGGCACACTTCTCCTGGGCCTGAGAGGGGCACGGACCCTCCTCCTGGGGACAGGAGCTGCTCCACGGCTGGGCACAGGCCTGTGTGCAGGTCCAGTGTACCCAGACACGAGGTGTGCTTTCCCACGGAGAGCCCTCGGCACAAGTGCGGCGGGTGGGCTGAGCCTCGGCCGTGTGGACCCAGGGTAGCAGGTGCGCTGCTGGCAGAGGACTCAGGCTCCCTGGAGGAATTTAACCTCCGACCCCTCTGCTAGGGCAAGGTCAGTGAGTGGCCAGGGACCCAGCAGCCTCCAGGCCACGCTGCCCAGGCAAGGGTGACCAGGCAGGAGGCGGGCAGGCTGGCTGGGAGCAGAGAAAACAGCCGGGGAAGCAGTTTTAGATGGAGCCGGCGCTGCGGGCTGCGGGCTGCGGGAGTGCGCTGTCAGCAGAAGCGGAGGCGGAGGCGGCTCTGCACACAAATCCCAAGTAGGTCAGGCCCGGCCGCTGCCACCGTGACAGGCTGCACACTGCTTAAGTGCGCTTTCCCCGGAACCACCGACAGCCCCGCCCCGCCGGCCCCACCCAGCCCCGCGGCCGCAGGGGCAGAGAGGTGGCCCAGGGCCCTCAGACGCTCCCAGCTCTGGGCTAGCACAGCACAGGGCCCGCACCTCGGAAGGCCCCAGGCATGCTGGGGTCTGTAGGGCAGGTGCTGGCAGAAGGCTCTGGGTTCTGGAGGGACAGAGATCGAGTCCATCTGGTGCACAGGGCCAGCAGCTTGGGAGGTGAGAGGTGCCACTAGAGGTGGCTTGGAGGTGACTAGAGCAGGCTCCACAGCGGCCAGGGACCTAGGGGACCGCGCAGGCCTCATGGTGGATGTGGTCACCTGGTCTCACTCCCCCTGCCTGCAGCTGCCCCCTGCAGTGCCTGGCTCCGCGTCTGCCTCCCGCCCGTTCCGCCTTGGAGCAGAGGCAGGCCCACTGCTGGGAGCTGAGGGCTGGGGAAGCAGGGGCTGTGTGACCTTGGGGCTGAGCTCCCAGGGCGGAAGGGAAGGTGAGCGCTGGCCCCGCAGGTCACCTGAAGGCTCCCTCCTGTGCGGCTCCTTCCGAGGGAGCCCCCATCTCTGCCAGGCAAGGGACAGAGCCGACTGAGCGCCCTGGCCCCGAGCCGGTGAAGGCACTAACTGTGCTGCGTCCATCATGGCACCGGGGCTCCGTCGTGAGGGGCCGGGTTATTTTATGTGTTCACATCTATTCAATTGGTATTTCGATCAATGGATGCATTACAAGCTTTCCCTTTAAGAGCCTAATAAACAACAAGATGGAAAGTAAAATTCTCCATAAAATGACACTTTAAAAAATCCATTTCAGCTGAAGCTATTGGTGTTTTGTATGTTAGCTGCAAAAAACAGGTATTATTGGGCCTTAATGGTCCCACTAGGGAGTGCAGAGTTCAGCTCACAGGGCCCTGCACCCGTTGCACCCGCCTGCCACCCCTGTGGCCCACACACCGGTCCACACAGCACCCCCTGTGCCCTCCATCCAGACAACTTACGTTGTGTTCTGACCTTTATCACCAGGGATTTGGGGACCCAACCCAGAAAGCACCTGCCGAGCCCAATCACTGTGACCTCTAGTAGCAGGTGCCTCAAACTCCTCCGAGGCTCCCCCTCATCTGCCTGGAGAGCCGCCTCTGGGCCTCTGTCGGCTGAGGGGCCCGCCAGCCTGACCGCACCTGGACCAGCCACTCCTTTGCTGGGCTCCGGGGCCTGCCCACTGCTCCAGGTGGAGGGCCCTGGCCACTGCACCCCAGGGGCTCCAGCCCCTGGATGTGGCCCAGCTGAGGGTCGCTGAGTCCAAGCCAGGGAGTGACAAAGTGACAACATCACAAGACCCAGAGCCACGAGCACTAGTCCTCAGGGCCCTGAGTGTCACTGCTACCTGCTACCGTGAGACTCACACGAGGGGGGAGGGGCCAGCACCCCCCACAACACACTCACACAAACCCCAGTGGGATGCCCCTCCTGGGATCACAGAGCAAGAGCGGACTGGCTCCCCTGAAACAGAGGTGGTGCCCCAGCGAGCTGTAGATGGTGGCACCCACACCACAGGGAAGGCGCACAAACCGAACAGCAAAAGCTCCCGAGAGTCTGGGAGGGTCAGGCAGCTGACTGACAAGTGAACGCTACCAGGACCGGCTGGGGCTGGAGCGGACGGGGGCAGCGACACAAACGCAGAGGGAAGCCAGGCAGACGAGGAGCCGCGCAGCACTCCACCCAGCCCCGTGCAGTGGGCTGAGAAGGAGATGCCCTCGACT